GCCGAGGACCGCGTGACGCGATTTCATCCGCCGACATTACGTTGCCCTTTGTGCTACGCGGACACATACGAATTTACAGGGTAATACAGATTTCACGCTCTTTCATCCGTTTCGATATGCGCCGCTGTTGCGCTTCGATACCTACGCATGCATACGCATTGTTTTGCTGAAAGGACGACACACGAAATTATGGAAAACGACCGACCGCGATGTATAAATCTTTTTTTGGAATACGAATACACGATTCTCTCGGATAAATTAATGACGATGCACAAAATTATTCGGGACAACAACCGTTGTTTATCGCGAACGAGAATTCTCTTTAAAATAAACATGATCATCGCTGTTAAGCTGAAAAATGCATTTAAGATTGGAGTTTTTAATTATGCCTTTATTTTTTCAAAATAAATATTGCACGCTTAAGGATATTTATATATAAAAAAAAAAAGAAAAAAATAGAATATTTCAGAAATATTTATTTGTTCCATACAATTATGAAATATTATTATATCCGTATATGACATTTCTTTTATATCGAGCGTGAAGATTTTAAATTAACTCAATATTTTCCAGCTATTTACGTGACAATATAGAAACATGTTCCTCTTAATGTAATAACGTGAAATTACTGAAGATGAAATTTCATCTTTTCATTGTATCATTAGTGCAATTATCTTTAAACTTTTCAATCTCTACTTATTAGTAAAAAGTAATATAGTTACATCTAAAGATTTAATATTTTCTTCTTTGTTTCGTTCATTATTTTAGCATCTACCTCCCCCCGGCTATTTCTCTATATTATATTGTCTACTTATATTCCATATACATGTAATCTATTTATTAAGAAAAATATATCAAAGAGAGAGGATATATATTATCAAGAATAAACATTCTTATCGATACAGCAATTTAAATTACCTGAATAATAATATTAATCAGATTAATTCTTTAGCGAAAGAAAAAAAGAATGCTATAAGATATTCATGGAATACTAATTTCATCATAATTTTTCTCGATATTTCCATATTTATTATGTAAAATATAGGTTCTTAATAACAAGCCATTTAATTCAAAGCACTATTATCTTACTAGTATCAGTATTGAATTACCATATTCAATAATACGTTGAATACATATAGCTGATAAATTGCACATCGAATATTTCTATGTCATATTTCGAGTTCAAATATGCAAATAAATGTCTCGATAAAGATTCTCGTAATTGCAGAATTTGCGTATCGTGAATCGTAAATTACACGTTCTTTTCTCCGGCGGGACTAAATCGCAATAACAACGTGCAATGATAAACAGAGGGCGGAAGAGAGAGAACCATTAAACTCGTCAAAACCAACAATATGAAGCGTCTCGATTAATTCTTGTCGCGTTTTTATTGCCATCTCTCTACAGAGAAACTAGGTAACGCGCAAGGATCGTTCGCTTTTAACCGTGACGCAACGAAGCGCGGTTTAATTATCATGCATTACCTGCATTTATCTACCAATTACACGAACACGAATGTGGAAATCGTTTCCCAGTGGTATGGCGGTGCAACGATCCCAGCTTTTCCGGGGACACGAAAAATCACGCAAAAATCGGAACGCAAAAAATTGCGTATCCCTTTTTTTTTTTTTTTTTTTTTGTTAATTACAAGCGCACGCGCGTGTATTTTCCTAAGGAATACTCGAACAACACGATTTTGCGAGTGAACGAAAAGAAATTGTCGCGAAATAATACACTCGAATTTTCTCAAATAATTGAAATGGCTTTAATAAATGATGAATAAATAAATAAATTATTTTTCACATTTTTTTATATTGTAAAATGTATTTTAAACGATTGAATAATTAAATAGTGATATATAGGCGTATTTATCCTTTTAAAATACAAAGATCTATATTTATAGAATATGAGATAATTTTATGTAATAGAATTATATTGAAAATAATAAATTATGTGTAAAGGATATATATATATATATATATATATCTTGATAAAGGATGGCTCTTTTATATAGTATGTGAACGAGATAGAAATATTCAGACACTACTATTCATCGAAATTCATTAAGGATTCCACACGATAATTAGCTACTCGCGTCAATACAAAAGTTTCTATTTCACTTCGTATTGCTCTTGCAACTATTCAAAATAAATATATGCAAATCTGACTAAAGATTGAAATAGGGTAAACGCAAATATTCAAATTAGTATAAAAATTATGAGACTATAATTGAAAATTTCGTATTTTTTTATCATTTTTAATATACAGAGTAATCCTATATATATTCTTCGATACTATATATTTTACATCCTTTTCAAATGTAAATATGTTCGTTTTGTGTCAATAATACTATTTAGGGAAACGAGTCGAAAATAATAGCTAAAGATATTTTTTTTATATTTTTGCATATAAAATCGTGAATTATTTTAAAATAACAATGTTTTTGACATTTGTATTCGTCAAACGTTTGAATTTATCGGGAAATGTCAATCGTTGTTGAGGACTAAATTTACGAAGATAATAAATAACACATGTATATTCCAGAACATCAGAAAATTTCAATCGTAAATGGCGCTTCAACTAACTTTCGGAATTCCTATGACAATTTCGATTAGAATCGACTGTAAGAAGCATCGAATAATTTACGATTTAATTATCGAACTATTTAAGATGACGGTGAAGAAAGGATAAATATAATAAAGGCAATTTAAATTCGCCTTAAGGATGCTATTTTGATGTAGCCTTTTTGTGTAAAATTATATGATATTCTCGTTACCTTAAACTCGTTAAACTCAGATTCAAAGAATTCAATTTCAAAGAAGGTTAATTTGATTATATAAATAAATATCCGAGACTTAAAAAATAGTCTGTAAAATTTTAATAGTCTATTCTTACAGAATATATTTCAAACACATTCGAGTGAACTATTAAAAGCAGAATTATATATTCATTAAGCCTATATATTTCAATCTATAAATCTCTATTTAAAATTGAACGCAGCCAAATTTGGAGAAATAATTATCTTCAATTAACGTTTTGATTAAATGGACTAATTTTATCTGGATTTTATTTATGGATAACAAATGTAATAATCCATATCAATACGAAAGTATATAGCTTTATAAAAATAAACGCGTCTCGTGCCAAGTAACAATTGATTGCGGCTAAATTATTGAAACGACGAAGTGTTTCGAATTCACGCAACAGCCGTATTTTTCTTTTCGAGGAAATTCAAGTTGAAGAAGAAGCCACTTTCGACTCCCAAAGTGCCTTGATTACCGTATGTACGGCTTTTAGTTTACGCTCGTGTTAATGGTTTATTGACGCGACCATCGGGCACCGACCAAGTTCCGACGTTTCTTCGGTGTAAGAAGATTACAACGTAACTTCGCGCTCCAAGTCGATAGGGCACGTCATCAACGTGCAACTTCCATTGACTTGGCGCGATTGAGATACGCAATGGTTGACGCAATCTCGTTATGTCGGTGGAAACAATTCGAGGTATTTCGTACCTCCGGAATGAGTTCGGCGCACGTCAGAATATCCAGTTTACGAAACGAGATCGAAATTAAATGTGTTTATCCTCCGCGGATGGGAGGAGAAAAGAAAAATACATCGCGTGTTTTCGTAATGTAAATTATTGACGATGAAGTGTCTTAAAACCGCAAGGTTTATTCAACTTCTTCTTATCGTGAACTCCATTCTTCGTAAAGTAGAATTTGCTTTAAGCGCAAGTCAAAGACTTGTTAAATCTTGATGATTTTTCGTTCTATTTTATTTATTATGAGATGTCGAAGAGAGCAAATTTCTGAAATATTCAACTGCACAAAGTTGAGATATTAGTAGTACTTGAGAAAAGTATTCATCTCTTTTTTTTTACTCTGATAATAAAAAAAAAGAAAATTAATTTTCCGAATATATCGTGTCTACCTTCGTATATTATTAATTACTCTTCTTACTACGTTGATTGTGAATCGCTCTGCGGTTTTAAAACATTGGCATATTTATAAATTCTGCCGATCTCATTGCAAAGATGCGATTTATCAAGAGAGAGAAGACAACGATCCCGGTTTTTCATTTAATCATCACGACTTGTACATGTTGTACACGTTGCGGGCTATTTTTCTTTTACGAAGACGTATCGCTTCCTTTTTACCGTCGATTTGTTTCGAAAAAACGTGTTTCTTTTTCCGAGTTAAATGTTCGTGCAATGAACAAAGCTCGTCAATTTTTAATTAAATGTAAATTTTCCAAATATGCATAAAATAAAATGTGAGAGCATTTGAATTTCACATTGTTTCCATAATTCCATTGTTTACATAATTTATAACGCTGCATTTATGCATGAATAAATTATTAATTTTTAAGAAAACTATTTGATTAAAATTATAAAATAAAATGCAATATTATACGTATACGAAACATTGTCCGGATTTATCCATAAAACTTACTCGTAATTTTGCATATTTCAAAAAAAAATCGTAACCCGGTATACAATGTACAGAATACAATATGTTTCCAATGTGTGTATGTATATATTTGTCCGTTTGTTATTTATGATATGCGTCTGCAAAGCAGGTGTTCACAATTGCGTATTCATAAGTGATTCAGATCGTACTGGTTACTAATTTCTAACCGTCATTTATTCGGTTGTAAATTTATGGAAAATATTTACGTCGCATTTCATTCACCCATTTGCTTTAATTATTAACACAAACGGCGCATTCTGCAAAAAATTTTGATGCAGATTAGAAAATAATATAGCAAAAAGGAATTATATAAATTATTTAATTATTTAAAACGCGATTTTCGCAGATTTAGCCGTAAAATTTACTCGTAATTCAACAATGTGACAATACTATCTCGCGTATCCGAACATGACGAAGAGTTTACGGTAGAGAGAAAACATTTGGCCCGACAATTCACGCGATGCGGAATTCATTCCGAAAAATGGCGGCCGAGATCGTGGCCTTTTGTTTAGCAGTTCTTTGTGCGCTTACCTTTTTCGCTGACGACGGACGACCGTTTCGAGGATATCCCAAAGGGCCGCATGGTCGCTGTCGGAGACCCGAGATGGATCTAGCTTCTCTCTCTCTCTCTTTCTGTTGAACTCGACTCCTCTCTTCTCCGGCCCACCTCTCCTCTTCCTTTCCCACGTGTACTCGCGCGAATATCACCAGCTGCTGTTACGAGTTACAGGCTGCTCCCGCCAAGTCCGTCAACGATTCGCGCGCACACCATTGCGCCAGGAATCACTATGGTAAGGATGAGATAAGGTGTGAGAAGCGCGAGGTGAGAACGGGACGAAGTGAGGCGAGGCAGGCAAGAATAAGGTGAGGCGAGGGGAGGGGCAAGGCAGGTCGTCTCAGAATCGCGCCGTTACCGTTAACGTCATCGCGGACTTTTCCTTCCTTAGGCGAGCAGGATCGTGGATTGCATCATCCACCGAGCGTTCCGCGAAGCCGTATCGTGTCGTATGAATCGTCCTATATAGCCCCGGCCGAGATAACCCCTCTCTTTAACCTGTTCAAGGACAGACGCGCTGCGTAGTGAGAAAAAAGGACGATCTCCCCCTGTTTCGTTTCGACCAGTGTTTTTCAACCGGCGGAACCGACGAGAAATCTCGAATGAATGATCGATAAATTTTAATCGCAGAGCTGATCTCGGGTTGTGACGTAAAAAATATTTCTTGGAGCATTTATTTGTCCTGGTAATCGTTTAGTTTCCTTTTTTTTTTTTATCGGAGTGAAGTACGCACGCAATAGATCGAAACTTTTGCTTCTGTCGCCGAGTATACCTCTCGACAACCTCTCTCCTTTGATGAAAAAGCAGCCTTAGAAAAGCTTGTTTTTCTAAAGAGAAGGAAGTTCGGGAAATTAAGTTTACCGGAGTTTAACCCAAAAAGAGAAGTTGGAAAAACCATGGTTTCCGAAGCCGTAGTTTGCCAGTACGGAGGCGAAAAGTTAGCGACCCCGAAGATTGAGTTGCCGGCGAAATTTCGTAATCGAGAGCGTCTGACGCCGTATTCGGACGGTTTAGTTGGCCGATTGATTCCGGCGCGATATTCACTCCGGTGAGAATCGAAAGTTTATGATTAGAAGCCGACCGCCTGCCTGCGCGGATATGAATTGCGAATTGGCATCGGGGCCAAGTCGATAATCGCGAATCAATCTCCTCGCGAGTAACACGAACGAACGGCTGTGAAATTTCTTACGTTCCGTGACGTATCCGATAAACGTCAAATAATATGATCTCGACTTCATTTCCGAAACGAGAAATTATCGGAATAATTTACGAGCGTCTCTCCGCACAATAGAAATAAGAGGATAAATAAGAGGAAAAGAGAACGGAAAATATTTATTTACTCAAGTGAGAAATCGAAAATCGATAACTGCCGAGTTTCAAATTGAAAAATTCGTCGCAAAGATAGATAACTTCTCGCGTCATATTGCTAAATCGTCAACACTTTCGCGGGACAGTATCACCGTAAAATAAAACTAACTCTCCAAGCAGAGGGAACAAAAACTACGTCACACAACAAAAACATATCACAAAAACGCAAACATACACATATACAAAACACGTACCGACAATTCTACGATACAGATTATATCGCCGCTCTCTGCTGTCACTACGCAGAACGTGAACGATCGCGCGATCAATCAATTCTTTACGAAACGCGTAAAATTTCCTTTCGAAAAACGTATCACTCATACACGAAGCTAACTCGACGACGTCTCGCGCGCGACTGTGACCGCTACTCGCGGAATCGGGACTCACTCACTCTCTCTCTCTCTCTCTCTCTCTCTCTCTCTTTCTCTCTCTCCCCTCCTCTGTCTATCGCTCTGAAGATCGCACGGCTTCGTCGCGACTCGCGCTCGGCTTTCCTCCCGATTTTCTTTGAAAAGACAAAGACACTCGGCACAGAATAACACGATTTTGCACGCGCTTGTCGCGATGATAGACTTGCCTTCGCAAGTACCGTAAGACTTTCGAAACGACGCGATCGGCGAAGCCGGGCGAGCAAGCATGCGCGCACACAAGACGAGAGATAAGTTACCCCGACCAAGTACCACGCTCGACTGCGCGACCGGCGCTAACTTCAGGCTTCACCCTCACGACTCCGTGTCACGGACACGGCGTAGTTTACGCGTCCCCGAGCCTGCCACCGCCAGCCGGCTCCTGCGTAAGGGCTTCCTGCGTGAGGGGGAGAAACGCTTCGTAGGGCAGCAGGACACGCAGTGGCGTCGTAGATATCAGTGTTTCTCAAAACGATTGTTTTTGACGAGGGAAACTTCTAGAAACGCGCACAACCCATGTTTTAAGGATGTTTTGGCTGTACAATAGTATCAAAAAACTGTCAAAATTTTGAAAAATACATTTCTTACGTTTATATTATTTGGAAAATCAAATAAATAAATCCGGATTATAAAAAAAGTTTAAGTATCACAAAATAATATGACGTTTTTGACATCTTCGTAAAAGAAAATAATTGTAATTAATATTTCTCCTAAATGAGAAAAATTTTTGATCGTGAATACCCCCTAAAATCAACTGCAAGAAATAAAAAAAAAAAACGAGTAATTTGCAAAAAGAGAAAGAGAGAGACAGATAATATTTTTCTACAATTTTCAGTAAATAAATTTTAAACGAGTAAGTGGATTTAAATCAAGTTTTGCACAAATATTTATTAGAGTTTTCTTAATATATGTGAAAATTTTTATTTCGTTGGCAATGCTTTTTTTCTTGTTAAATTTGTCAATAAGTGCTACAATACGCGATTTTCCATAAGAATTAATAGTAACTTTAAACTTAAATAATTTCTAAACCGTTAAAAGAATTGTGCTCAGAAATATTAGAAATAATAAAACAGTCTACGAAATTTTTATATTTTTGTCAATGTTTCGACATATGACACATACATCCTTAATGCTCATACACTTTGTCATTTTTAAAAAATGACAATTGTAGATGTATGATGACGTATTTGGAATTTAATCATTGACATAACTTTCAATACACACACACACAAATAATAAATTTTGATTTAAATTTTAAATATTTCTATAAAGCCACACACATACACCTCATGAATTTTTTTGAATCTCGCACATAAATTTTATATATATTGAAGGCGCACAAATTGAATCTGTTCAAAAAGATTATCTCTTTTATTTTTCATATAATCATGTTTGAACGCAATGATATTACACACGCATTATTGTCGTAAAGATGTTTACGTTGATTTTTTTACTTATAAAGTAATGCTGATATTCATAAATTATAAATTTTTCAATTATCTATTGATCTATAATTTAAAATACTTGTATAGTTTACAATATTCCGCTTGTATATATACATCATAATACGTAAAATATTTCGGCAATAACATAGTATTCGGCCTTGCTGGCGTAAACATTAGCGCGTTATTGTTTATGTATTACGGCTTATAGCCTTGTTATTGTATCATTCATACGACGAGCATTAGTGATGCGAGACGCTCCATCGAATTATTTTATTTTTCTAAACGCGATCGCGACAAGTATCGGGAAATAATTTAATATGATTAATAATTAATTATCTTTTACATATTTTAAATAATACGTAATTATATTGCAACAAATCTCGAAGCACGTATTTCGCGTAATGTATACACATTTAATCAAGAATCGAAGTGACAGGAATCAAAATTGTAAATTATTATTTTGTCGCGATATCTCTCTCTCTCTCTCTCTCTCTCTCTCTCTCTCTCTTTTTATAAACAATAATTATTTCTTCAAAAATACTTAAAGTTCAATTATATTTCGTCCGATGCTTTATCATTCGATTTTCCTACGATCTAAATATGATTCCGATTAAGAACGCGTAATAAAATAATTGAATCGGAGTTTCGAATAATTAACATAACGATAAGCTTCGGGATATATTAATCGTTTATTAAATAAATTGATAATTATGTGCTTCAGCATTTATGAAATAATATCTTTTATCTTTATTCCTTCAACAATTTTAATCGAGCATAGTATAGCATATATTATAAAATATCCTACTATGTTGCGCGTTTTAATATTTAGAAAGAGACGAAAAATCATTAGTTATTATTTTACTATTTATTGTAACAATTTTCTATTTATAACTATTGTAACTAATTCTCTATTTCTTCGTATTGATAAAGTATAATAAATAATTGTACAAATTTTACACATTGTAATGTGTTCTATATTTTAATAATACTTGAAGAGAAATAAAGATCTCCATCGCTTTTTATTGCTTGTAAGATATAAATAATTTCCTGATTTAGAATTTATCACATTTATTGCGTACGTGTAATCACTGCATTCAAACACGATTTAAAAAATGAAACAAGAGGGACAATTTTTTTTAACAGATTCAGTTTTCACGTCTCGAAATACATAAATCTTTGAACTCTATACATATTAAAGCGAGCTCTGACGCTCCAAATGCGATCCGAGATAGCGACATTGTATATCTGCTTTTTTTTCAGTAAAGTTTAATCAAAAAACTTTTTTCTCACGTCCTATAAAAAATACGTTTAGTTCACGCTTACTTATAATAACACATGTTGAACTTTTTAACAGGGCTTGTATAAAGCTTTCACACAATGCATTGAAAGAATAAAAATATCCGCTGATTGTAATACTTTCTTTTATCTCTCTCTCTCTCTCTCTCTTTCACTTTTTCTATCTCTCTCTCAGATCTTTTTTTTTTTACTACGAGGATGATATGGGAGCTTGCGTTAGTATGTATAGAAATCAGCGACAGATAAGCTACGTAAGTTTCAAAAAAATTCTTCTGATAAGATGACTTCTGTACTAATACGTCTATTCGATTAACAATGCATGAAGTTTACGATCGCACAAAGTTCACTTGACGAAATTATCGAACGTTCGTACTATCGACGTGATATATTTATACGTGATGCAAAAATCGCTCGATACATAGCTAGCAATATTTATTCTCGATAATTTTATTAATACATTTAACAAAATATCTGTAACTATGGTCGCGCAAAATTCTACTGGTGGAATTATCACACGCTTGCGATATACTATAATTTGCGAATAATATGACAATCGCTCGATACGTTTTTCTATACTTCCGATACTACACGTTTGCAAACGGTATTTATTCTTAATAATTAAAAATCCGATAACTCAGATGTGATGAGACGAGAAATTCTCATGATAAGTAATCCCGTATCGTGAAATAATTATCCATGTAGTGAGAACAACATTAATTACAAGAATTAATTATGGACCGATTTTATTCTTTCGATATTAACGATGCTCGAATGCGATTAAATCTGTATTACAAGCGGCATCTCGACACCATAAATAAGCATACCGTTCAAATGATTACGCCATGACAGTCATATTTGATTCGCGTAATACAAACTCGGAATTCTAAATTTGGACCAGCCCTCTAATAGAATCGGAAATCGACATGTTTAGTGGTTTTCGTATTCGTATAGCGTGTTGTGCGCGGTTACATGTGTATAATCCCGAGAAAGCCGAAAAAAAAGGATAAATATTTAATGTGATATATATGGTCCTCTCTACAATTCTGTCGAAATCTTACATATTTTATGTATTTAGACATGTGGAAATTGAATCTATTCGAAATGCATAAAATATGTGAGTTCTGAAAACATCGGAAAAGGAATCTTCCTAAATTGAACATTTACTTTAATTATTTAATATAGGAAATAATATAGGAAATAATATTTTAAAATAATGTTTGATATTTATCTCATAGAGGAGAAAAGCTTCTTATGACTCAAACTATTAGGTAAATAATTACCTAGGTCCTAGGTAAATGATTCGCGTTCCATAGCTATGCGTAATTTGTAAAATATGACTAATAATTTTATTTCTATTACAAAAGTTTATTCACCTATAATGGATTGAGTCATAAATAACTTTTGTTTTCTATGAGACAAAACATCATTTTAATATTATTTTATACAGGGTATTCCGAAAATATTAACATTAATAAAGATAAAATAATTTGTATTGATATTCTTTTTAGTATAAATGTGTATGTTACAAAAGTTACTTTTTTCTATATTTATTATATATTTTAAATATATAATTTTATGTATGTATGTGTGTGTGTGTGTGTGTATAATATTTAATTATTAGAAACATCATTATACCATCGCATATTAATTATTCATTTACATTTTACATCAAGAGGACGAAATTAAAAATGAGAACATTAAATTTATGTTTGATAAATTTTAAGCAATTTCAAAGAAGTTTTAATAAATTGTATTATATTTTATTCTTTTAAGATTATTATGAAGTCCATCAATTTATTGCATAATTAATGACAGAGCATGGATTACATTTTCACAGCGATAATATCTGTCATATACGATTTAATGTGGCAATTAATTTCAGAAATGTTTTCATAAATCTTCTGCGAAATTCATAACGGATAATAATACGCTTATACATCACACCTAACAATACGACAATTTAAGATCTATCTGAAGGGATATCTATCTGAAGGGATCTTTCCCTTGATTTGCCGCATTAATTAAAGTCCAAGAGCCCAAAACTGCGTTTCTGGCAAGCCAATTGAAATTACGCGGTGGAACCGACTAGCACAGGAAAATTTTAATTTCCACGGAACTTTTCGGATGTATGCAAAGTGGCACGAGAGATGTAAGTTCAGCAAGTTTTCATTTATCTGTGAAAATGGATTTCAAAGATGGCATTGTACCATCTCGCGAATTCCCGTTTTTGCGCGCCACAAATTGAAAATTAGCAATGCTTATAAAAAATGCTCAACTTAAATCGAGCGCGAGGGTAAATGGACCCGCATAAATTATCTGACTCAATTCGTTTTACGTCGTTAGATAAAAATAGTTTTATTTATAAAGGCATCTCTATATTTTGAAGGCTATTATTCTATCATTAATCTCGATATTATTTTTCTATATATTCAGCTTTAACAGCAAAGTATTATATAATATACAATAGCCTATATTTGCCTCTTGCATTCTAAGTATCTCTGTTAATTATAAA